AATTTTGAATTCCAAAAAAGACTGCCAACCCTTCTTGATCTAGCTAGGAGTACCTCTTTTCAGCAGGTGACAATGAGCATTACATAAACTCCAACGGACACTCACTTCCGTCTTCCATGAGGTGTTATAAAACAGTGCCCATGCCATATGGCGAAGCAGATTTAAACTGGAGCCATTCCCTCTGACCACTACTAAGGGCAGTTTGCCACATTTCCCAGTACAGATTCCTCAGTTTTTCGAGTGTGTGAATCAAACTTTGCGCAATTTCGCTTGGCTTTGGATGGAAGTGATTTTTTAACAGTTATTTGTCCCAGTGGTTTATGGCATATATCACATTAGAAACAACCAGTAGTTCTAAGTAAATCATTAATTTCATGTAATTCTCAGGATCGGTGCTTGTCCTGTCCCTTCGGTATGTCTGTTCCCTATTTGGCCAGCAGGTGTCGCTTGCCATCCCATGTCCTTCACTCCTAGTGTTTCCTGTTCCCCTGGCTGTTGTGTGACTTAACGGGCTCGGCGGTCGGCCATCCTCCAGACTTCCCTTTTGTTGTGTATTCAAGACTGGCCAGAAACCAGCTTGAACTAGTTGCTATTTCAGATTTATTTTGTAGTTTTTCATGGCTTATAATGTGTTTGTATTTCAGTTACAGTTTTTGCTCTGTTTGTTGTATGTTCAGTTTTCCTTGTTTTACTTTCCCTTACTTTCTCTGATCACCATGACTGATCCGCATCTGTCCTTTTTCCCGCACCCCATCCTCACAATTAGCTGATAACAATCGGGGTTTCACACAAGGTAAATGAGGGGGCGTGGCACACAGGAGGATCGGATGAGCAGGTCATGACAGCCCTACACCGAGCATCTGGTAGCAGCATACTCCAGCTACAGTGGGATGGACCCCCCAGCGGACCGAGAGTGGGATTCCCCCTGGGAGCAACAACTCATCCAGCTGCTGGTAGACGGGCTGCAAACAGACATCAAGAAGAACTCCCACCTCAGGATGGAACGGCAAATTGTGTTCACTGATTTGTGTTCACTATTTGTGAGGCAGTGCTGCCTAAGGGCCCGAGGATCATGGGCATCTAGAATACTTGTCCCTTACATACAGAGATTTTCCAGCCTCCTATTGCCCCTGTCCCAACTTTTTTGAGACGTGTTGCTGTCATGAAATTCAAAATGAGCCAATATTTTTCAATAAATAGCAAAATGCCTCACTTTAAACATTTTACATGTTTTATATGTTCTGTTGTGAATAAAATATGGGTTTATGAGATTTCCATATCATTGCATTGTGTTTTTATTTACAATTTGCACAACGTCCCAACTTCATTGGAATTGGGGTAGTAGATTGAGAAGCACCTGATTGCTACTATAATTGGAATCAAGGGCTGAGCTGCATGGTGGCCTGGGGGACAGTCACGAAAACATAAACCCACTGATATCCTCAAAACCCACAGCAAAAAGGGGAGTCAGGAGCGGTGGCCAACCACTTAGCCCATTAAGCCACTTGGCGACCTGAGGAGCAGGCAAACACACTACAGGCTAAGGGGCTACAAGACAGAGGAGAGAACAGGATGGCCAGTGACATATGGTGGTCAAATGGGGACAAAGAAGAGAGAACAGGACACGGTAGGGACGGATTCTGACACAGGTACCATACTACTTTGTCTAAATATGCCCAAGTGCATAGAATGTTTTAATATAAGTCTTTGACAATGGTATCTCTGAATTACGCAGCAGTTCAACTCCTCCTGAGGCCCTATAACTGTCCTGAGAAGTTGTTTGTATGCACTTGCTGCCTTGACACTTGTTAATGTTTGTGTGCCCTGATCGAGCAGTAAAGGGGAGATCGCATGCAGAGCTGATTTTCTGTAGGTTCTTAGTCTGAGTAAAAATAAAATATTCTCATCATATAGGAACCAAGTCTCTGGCTGTAAATTTCTACAACAGAGCCATTTAGTTATTTCTAGAAAATATATATAGAGCCAATGAAGGGACCTGATGTCACAGTAACACAGGTCACTGTCCGTGGTGCTGAATTCTCTACTTGATGGGCTGGTGCTGAATGAATAGGACAGCTGGCCAACGTGTCTGTGAGCTTCCACTGACTGGCACCCTGACATATAATTATTTTTAACAATGAGTGGGGGGGGGGGAGTTCATACAGGAAATTAGTTGACAGTAATTAGTAATCACTTGTAGTTCTCATTCTTAATAATGTAAAATTCAAAAACTTTTTAAGGACGAAGTGTAATCGTAATTTAATGTAACCCTTCTGCTCTTACAATTTTTCTTAGTTGTTTACACACAATTACTTATACTTGAGACACAATGACTACAACATGTAACTGATGCACCAACCCCCTGATCCTGGGTGCTGCTTGCACAGGGTAGCCTAATGTGTTTGAGGGAGATTACACTGGAAAGCTGGGTTCCCTAGCCTTTTTTTTTGTGTCAACGATTGAAAGTCTTGCAGTTCCACATAGTGTGAAGCTCTTTTGTCCTTACCACTTAAGGTACCTGAGTACTGTGAGGGTTGCAGGGTATTGGATTGAAGTGTATATTAGGATAAGTGGGTTTGCACAGTCACGTGTGGTATAGAAACCCTAGCTTCCCACCATTGTGTCTACCCTTCCTGGGTTCAATAGGCCTCTGTCCCAATGTCTTGGTGATTTGTTTTTTTTCATTTTCCCTTTTGTGTTTGTTTACTGTCCCTCCCCCACCATCAAGGTAGCGACCTACTTAATTGGTGATCAATCATGCTACAAAAGAGTATTTATTAATAAAGATTGTATTTTTATATTTCTTTAAAACCTGCATCTGTACTTACTGTATTAGAGCATTGTCCCCTTGCTCTGGTACTCTTAGTAGTCAGTGAATTTCAAGGGGTAGCGTAGTCAGTGTACAGTAAGGGGCACCACACTTAGTGTGTTCTTTCTTTCTGTCTGGCTAACAGTCTGAAAGGCTGCTTATGGCTACGCATTCATGGGGGGGTGGGGTACTCACAATGACCTGTGAATGTGTCATTAACTTCTCTGCTTGGCCACAATGAAAAGAGATATGTTTGCAGGGGTCAAGGTGAGGTTGTTTTCTTAACCTAAGAATACTGAACCAACAGTCAAGCATGGTGGTGGTCGTATCATGCTGTTTTGCTGACAGTACTGTACATCAGTACATTGTGCAAAGAGAACGGAATAATGAAGCAGCACTTGATAGATTGGTAATTTTTTGTCATAGTACCAGACACAAAAACAGGAACATAAAAGAAACATAGCAAAAAGGATGACTGAGATCTGCAAATTGTGTCTAACTAGGTAAGAACGGTTCAAAGTTTCGCCAAACAAGTAACTGATTCAATAAATGACTTTTGGAAATTGGCAGTTTTGTTCCCAAAATGATTTTTAATATTTCAACAATTTGGAAAAACTGTAAAATATTTCACCTATCTAAAAAACATTTATCCCAAATTGCTACAAATGCTTTTATTCAGCACCAATAATCTGAGATAATTTACAATGTGATTATTCTAATTTTTTTGTTAAAACCTACTTTAAACATACACTTTTTAAAAACTTATTTTCAGTGGTGCTGACAAATTGTAAAAAATCACATTATAAACATTTCTCGCCAAGGCTTTTGAGCTCTGAAACTTATATACATAGGGGTTGGTTACACAAAGGTGAATGAGGCATTCAAAAATTTGCATGAGGTTTGATTACTAAAGTGTTACAACTTTGAAGTGACTTTGGAGTCACCACACCTTTGCATACTGTCAATGGCCCATCAGTCTGGAATGTCTGTCACTGCCCCTCACACCAATCAGTTTGGAAAGGCAGTGTGAATTTTATAGTTTTTTTCAATTGCTAAGACAGATAATGAAGATGCCAATATATTTCTCCAGAGCAATGCCAAGGATGGTTCATGCATGTGAAGAGATACTACCATAGATCAGTGATTTTCAACCACTGTGCCGCGGCACACTAGTGTGCCGTGAGAGATTGTAAGGTGTGCCATGGCAAATTATCCAATTTCACTTAATTGGTCTAAAAAGGGAGGGGTGTTTTAAGGCTTAAACTATAAAAAAAAAATGTTTATATGGTCTTTCTATATCGCAGATTTTCACCTATCTCTGATGGGTGTGGAACGTAACTTCCACATTAAGCGGGGGATCACTGCATGTACTCCCATTTTCCACAACATATCTGTGTGAGCTGAGTTTTTCAAGCCTGACTCATTAAAACTAAAAACAAAGAGAGACTGAGAGCTGTTGAGGAAGAGCTTCATGTGTCTGTCTTCAATTCTTGCCAGGATATCAGCTTTGTGTTCAACCAAACAGGCTCAGGTTTCACACTGAGCGAGTATAAATAAATTGAGAGACTATTTTGACATTACTAGGCTACAGAGTGTCATTTTGTAACATCTTTGGTTGGTGGTGTACTGTGGGATTTTTTTCAATGTAAAAAATGTGCCGTGGCTCAAAAAAGGTTGAAATACACTGCCCTAGACACTACCCTGTCTTAGCAATTGAAAAAAACTGTAAGAAAAGAGACAATACTAGCCGTTTTACAGTTTATAGCATGGATCAAGGATTAAATGTTGATGAATAAAATGTGCAATAACATTATATTACAGGAATAATACAAAACAATAAATTAATATTAGAACAACAAATTGTCACTCCTGATCAGGATGCCAAGCTTCAAAACAGTTCCTGTCTGGTTTAGGGAAGAGATAGAAAGCACATGCTTTGCACTTCCGAGGGGTTTTTGTATGTACTGTATAATATCATAGCGCTGGATTAGTATGTACCGGCATGCTCACTAGCCAAGTACCTAGCGCTGTTTGTCTCTGGTGTTGTAAAAACTTCGGCCGTGTCTTGAGTTTACCTTAACTCCAAGTTATTTGGCTAAGCAAGAAATCCTGCTTTGTGAAGAACCCCCGATCTCAACCCTATTGAAAATTTGTGGGTTATGCTTGTGGGTTATGTTCCATTTTGTCCCAGTTCATGAGTTTGTGGAGGACAAGTTCATCTCCATTCTGGTCGTGAACTTCGAGAGGAGCCCACTGACCATGGAGAACTTGCAGTCTCTGGCCCTCAGTGTCCCTTCATTTTATTGGCGGCTCACTGGGGAGGAGTTGGATCCCAGCCTATTGCACGTAGCACCTGCACGGCTGCAAGTGGTACATCATGGTACAGAGACTGGTGTCCAGCATGGGGATGGAGAATCACCAGCTGAGGAGGATGACCATTACGGACAGG